AATCTTGTTTTTAGGTGGAAACTTCAAAATGGTTTTCAAAGTTGATCAAAATGATTTACCTCAGGATAAACAACGGTATTGCAACTACGTAGCTATTGCAGATAATACTATATAGGCTCAGTCTCTTAATCTTAATATTGCGTCGTTTGACATTGACTTTGTGCAGTAAAATTTTCGAACTCATATGTGTATAGATCAAAAATTTTCGTAGAAAAATTAAAGTTTTGTTTTTGGCGCAGCGGGCGTCAACCCAAGAATCGGCGGCGTAATTGGTCCATGTTAATTTCACTTAAATACTTTGAAAACGTTGAGATTTGTGTTTCTCGACACTAGTTTTTCAAAATGATTATCATTTCAGACAAACGTATGTAAGTTTTGCAGATTATTATCGTTTTTTTTTTCTAGTGGCTTCCGTCTCCTTTCTCTCAGCTATTTTCTAGTACCATGTTTATGCTGTACTCCGTGTGGTGCGAAGTCTCTGTGCTTACTTTGTTTTTTTTTTCTGCGTTTTTAACCTCCAGTTTGATTTGTTTGCATGTCTTTGAGAAGACGAACTTGTTGTATCACTGATGCCAATGCATCCAGGAACCAGTGAAGCTATATCCCGTCACTAATGATTGCAGTTTCGGCTTAACGGTTGTCTGCCTAAATTTCGGTGGATTAATTGCCCGAAATCTCTTATTTTCTTCAATTAGTATTGGTGGTTTTTTCCTGGAAATTTTTGCCTTGGCTTGAATGTCATGATAAAACTTTCAAATTGACTAATGAGCTGTCTATTCTTTTGTTGGTTAGGAAGCTTCATTAGATATTTCGACAAGCCGAGATGCACATGCTCTTGTTTTTTCCCTAAATTTTGTAATTTTTTTGGCGGTGTGAGTTTAAGGTGTTCCTCTATTGGTCTATTTTTACCAATGCATTGGCGGCAAAATTTTTGGAGATAAAACTTCATAAAGTTGTTGCTAAGTTGTTGTATGATCTGAACTTTTATTGAGTAATTCAGGTTTTCAAAATTGTTTTAATTATTTTTTTCATACGACAAAGAAAGTTTAGTAAAGCGCATGAGCTGAACGCGACAATAGAGATAAAAGAAAAACAATTTCTTAAAAAGTGGCGATAGCGAAAACCGGTTTTAAAAAACGATGTCTATACTTTGGGAGCAAAAATGTCAGAAGTAAAATTGCATCTCGCTGATTTAAATCAGGCGCCATGTATCTCACTGTTGGCTTCTCTGGATACACATCGGAACAGAACATCGGAGCAATTTTTTTCTGAAAACTAAGTGATCTCTATACCGTCCCTTAATTAAACATATGATTGAAAAGGTAGCTCTTAACTGAACGATTTAATTACAAAAGTGAACCAAACAAGGCTTATAATTTTTTTCGATGAACTGAGCTTAATTTATGCTAAAAAATGCAAATTCTTATAGCGTTTGAATATTTTACCGAAGAAATTGGCGTAGAGATGTCGAGAAAAAACTAAGAAAGACATAACTCAGTAGCATCGATCTTCAAGTAATCTAAAAAAATACTTTTAATTCGATCAAGGGGCGGATAAGGGGGGTGGATGTGGTTTTTCTAAAGATTTTTGAAAATTTTGTCGACTTTATTCAAAATATGTTAGTCAAATTCCTTTTCCGAGCCCTTCCTAAAGCACTAAAAGAGCGCTTTTCTTTGTCACTTTTCGGAAATTTTTGTCAAAAAATGGTGTTTTTTCAACGCGCTTCCCCCTAAAATTTTTAAAATAAAGGTGCCAAAGGTTTCTTTAGAAAGTTTTAGATCCATCAGCCAAAAATAGAAATCTGTAAACAGTTACTAAAGTCGGCAGGGGGTCGAACTCCTGAGAGGGGACTTCCCCCTAAATCCGCCCCTGATTTGGTCGGTTTATTAAGTTTTAGTGCTGTGGAACATTCATAGCCTCCCTGTTTTTTTGAATTCCTCATCTGCGTCATTTCCGCATTTTCTATGGCTTTTATAATTTTGTTCGTTCCTACGCTTTTAGAGGGAAAAAGTGTTGAAAATGATTTCTTAGCGAAATAAATTACCAGCTCATTCGCATTTGTAAACTTACAAAAAACAAAAGTTTTTTTCAAGCAAATTATTCGTTCCTGATAACGTTGACAACACTTTATTTCTGTTATGTTTGGGTGAAGTTGTATTCATACGTCAATTATTAACTTCTTTGGGCGCTGTTTCACCAATTTGCTGAAAAAATTGAAGCAAAATTATTTAAAGTGAATTATTTTTTCATGTATCTTCACTGATGGCACCATACTCTTCATAGTATTCAAAGTGTTTTTTTTTTATTTTGCATTTTTTCTACCCAACTAGCGTCGCAAAATGAGCGTTAAGTTTTGAAACCTTAGGAGCATGGAAGCATGTTGTAAACAAAAAAGTAGCTGTTAAAAAGAATGTACTTAGAGTTTCAAAACAATACCACAAAAAGTCGAGAAAAGTATAAACATCAAGCTAATTTGTGAAAGATAAGTCAATCATTTAAAAAAACGAAATTCTATCAAGACAAAATTCAGCATGACTCGTAGAAACACAGCAGAGCGTTTTTTAAATTATTTAATGAACTTGCTAAAGGGAACCGTCTGCAATCAGAAATTAATAATTTGGACGCAAAGGAAGTAGAAAACTACAATATAATTTTTAGCACTGTGGACGAAAATATCTTTCAGAAAAATGACATTACTTCGAAGGACCAAGGTTATCAAAAACAATTGCAACCAATGCTTTTGGCACTCACTTTGCCTCGCGAGGTCAAGTTTATTTTAGTTAGAAGCAAACATGAACTGCATAGATTGCTAAGAGCTGAAACTTCTTTCTGAGAAAAATAAGCACATTAACTGTTCCAGTCCTAATCAAGTTAAACAAAAAAAAATTAATAAGCACAATTTTCCAGATTTCCTAAAGATAGTCAAAACACTACCCATCTACAAAGCTGGCAAAAATAATATCGCTGAAGGCAAAAAAACGCCTGTTATAGGAAAAACTGTAGAGAGGAGTTTATATAACAAGCTGACAGAACTTATTCCGAAATATCAAATGCTCAGCAATGCGCAATTTGGATTCCAAATGAAATCTCGAACAATTGGTGTAAGAGTTTCGTTAATTGAAGAAACTCGTTACCAGTGGGATTCTCACTCGAATAAACACAATGCAAATTCTTGGACAGATGCACAAAATATTTCACACTGCAAACAAAACTTTATAGTTAAAAAAATGCTTATGGGCTACGAGGACCAGTGTATGAAATTATAAAATCTGACTCGTCAAATAAAACTCAAAGTAATTGTTTAAATCGAAATAAAATTGCTACCAGGTTAGTCAAATTTGGAGTAACACAAGCATCCATATTAGTTATTCTTTTACTCGTTCTCTTCTTTAATGATAACGATTGTTAAAATGAACAGTCAAAATTAGATTTGTACGCTGACCATTCTGTATTTCTGTCTATAAATGAGCAAATAAACTACAAAAAAATGATCAAAAAAATCTGTTGGTATCATTAACTGGTTAGATGATAATCAAATAAAGTTACTTACAGACAAAACAAAAACAAGGTTCTTCTCAAAAAACAAATTCCGTAAAAAATCAGAAGAAAAAAAAGAATGTATTCAGCAGATAAATAGTTTTAGATATCTTGGCAATTATATTCATGAAAATTAGGAATTGAAAGACTTGTGAATAGAGTTCAAAAAAAGTTAAACGGATTTTTCTCGGTTATCTTAGCAACTTAGGAAGTGTTCAAAAACAGATAAATTCATGAAATTTTTCGAAATATATGTTAACCAATTGTGCAATACGGCAAGCTTGTTTGTGCTGCTACGGACAAAAGCAATTGAAGTTCATTGGAAGGTTTTATAAACCGTTTAATAAACATTTTTTATTCCAGGAAACATAATCAGTCATTTGAACTAACTAGAAATCAAAATTGACCTCATACTGTAGAGAAACTTCATGCCTATGAATAATTGAAACTGCTAATTAAGGGGTGGGAAAACTGCACTTCAGTTTTGATCAATACAAAAATTATTTACGTTAAAATTAGTAAGATTAGGACACGAAAACAGAAAACTCAAGAACTTGTTATTGATTGCCATATAAATTCAAAGTTTCCAAACTTTCCAAACTTTACCATTTTATTTTATTCTAAAGCTCAGGTTTTCACGCTTTTTTTCTACAAAACGCTAATCATACTAAGATAATTACAATTTGCATAACGATCATTTTTTGCTCGTTTCGAAAGACTGAATTTAGTTGAAATCCTAATTACATTTTTATAAAGAAGTACATACATATATACATCCATGTATTTTTTCTATTCAAGGTTTCTATTCACTTTATATACTTCAATCAACCCATTGACATCTGAAAAAGGATAAAGAATAATTGGGTTTGTAAAAATCATCATACAAATTGGATTGGAAAATTAAAATTGTTTTAAAAGTTTGAAAGATTAAAAAAAAATTAAATTGGTTATATGGTGGTTTAAAACGCTATACACCTAGAAACCGACAATTTGTGTCTAACGGTGGCTTACCAAATTGATCTGATTTTTATGAAGAGAAATGATAAAACAGATGAAATGTTAGATATGTTTTGGATACAATTTTTTGATACAAAACTGTCCAAAAGCCGCCGGCATGTTATCTGAAACATACTCCCTTGACTGAGAAGTTTTAGGCAAAATAGAGTCTTTTTGTGCAAGGAAAATTTGTAAAATCAAATTGGTCGATGTGAAATAGTTTTTGTCACTTTTTGGAAAATTCACGACCCCCTTTGCGAAAACCGTTGATCCGACTCTGAAGCAAAGTAGTTCAATTCGAAGAAAGTATTTTGGCGCACCTGGCCACGTGAGCGGGTTCGCCAAAATACAGATAACAAAACTAACAGACAGATAAATGGGTAGAAATCCTTATTTGCAGCGAGAAGATCAAGTTGAACTCATCTCACCTTTTACGAATGACGGTTCAATTAGATTCAGAATTCGTGAATGCTTAACGTCAAACAAGTTGGCTTTACCCAACTAGAGGGCATGGGTATTTACTTAATTGCTAATCAACTGACCTGACCTAATATGAGGTTCATCTAAATTTCGAGCTGCCTTTTAGAGGTGAGTTTGACTCGATTGAGTGTTAGAAACCCAAAGCATCATTAATCAATATTCGATATTTCGCGTTAATTTATTCTAATTTTACTGATGACAATTAAGATATCGATAATGCTTTTTAAGCATTTTTAGATATCTATTTGAAATTTTACAACCTCAGATATCTAAAGCACAGTCAACATTGATAACGTTTCATTTCTTTCAGGGACTGGCTAGTTTCTAAAATGCGATTTTACAGCTTTTTTAATATTCTTACTCTATTCATTATTCAATATTTTACTGGGTCTTTTAGCCTGAGAATTCTTGGAATCTGTTCATGTTTCACGGGTCATATAACGCCATATTCGGGGATTTTCAGGGCACTGTCGGCGCGGGGTCATGATGTCGAACTGCTTATGGGCTCGGATTGCTGTCAAACTAAAGTTGCTGATATGTTCAAAAATGCGACCAAGTGTTTCAGTGTCGATATTTTCAACTCATACCGGATAAAAGCCGACAGTCAACTTGGCGGTCTTCTCAATGTCAAGCAACATTTTGCCGATAACGGAACTAAAATCGCGTTTGATTTAACGCATAAATTTTTAGAGGAAAACGCAGATCGGTATGACATAATAGTGAGCGATTTCATCCAACTAGGGTCATATATAGCTGCAGAATTACATAATATCCCAGCTGTTGTGTCATATTTAGGCCCAATGGGTCTAACTCCACAGAATCGGCCAGATGAACGATCAGGACTGATTTACCTTCCCGAAACTACTTTGCCAGACGTTGTCATAAGTGCAATTGAATTCTTAGGCGAAAGTATTTTCCAATTACTTGTTTCGGATACTGTTTTTGAAATGGTCCATCAAATAAATTCTGAATTCAAAATGAATCCCAAGTTACGCAACTCTGGCATTAGCTTTCATCTTCCTTTCACTTATTATTACACATTTGCTCCAATTATTCATATGGGTCCAACAGATTTATTTTTGATCAACCCTGAATTCACAAAACAAGTGAACAATGTACACAGCGTAGGGTTTGTCCCCGATAAATCGAGTTTCAAAAAAGTTCAAGCGGATGTTCTAAACTTCATTAGTAGTTCGGAGAAACCGGTGGTGTACATGTCTTTGGGAACAGTTTTCGAAATGGAGAGATCGAAATTGGTAAAAGTACTGAGGGAACTGGATGAACAAGAACAGTTTTCTATAGTCTGGGCTGCGTCCAGTGAACACTACACACATCTGTCTACGCTGGAACTGAAGAAATCGAATGTTCTTTTGGTGACAGGAGTGGCTCAACTTTCGTTGCTGATGAGGCAACAAGTCAAAGTTTTTATCACTCATGCCGGTTAGATTCAAAAACTGTTCTATGAGATGGCTACGAAAAGGTCCCAGAAGTGTTTGTAGATTCAAAGTTGCCCAACAAAAGTCATTTGAAAGTTACATATTAGATTTTTTCCAAATTTTTGTTCTTCTAAATCAAAATTAGTTTACTCTTGTGTTAAATCTGAATTTTTGGGCTGTGAATTTTCGAGAAAACGATTTTGACAGCTTGTATGAATCTATAAATCAAGTTCAAAATGATTTTACTGTTGTGCAAATCAGCTTTCAGTTTAACTGTATTGATTAGGAGCCAACTCTCTTCAAGAGGGAATATTCTCCGAAACGCCTATGCTGGTTTTCCCTGGATTTGGTGACCAACCTGCAAATGCCCTTCAACTGGTCAAACAGAACTTGGCCTTGCCGCTAGTGGAGCTGACCTTCAAAGAAATATCACGCAAATTGGACTCTATTCTAGATTCAAACACCTATTCACACATGAAGAAGAGCCTCAAAGATTGCAAAGCATTGATGATTTCATTTGGAGGATTCGAAAAAGCCGCAGACATTGTTGAACAAGTTCACGCAGGAGTGATCAAAGTAGTTGATCCACCACCTTTAGTTGACCTGGCGGCTGACATTTACTTCAAATTGTACACGATTATGGTGATCGTTGTTTGTGGAACTTTTGTTTTCTGGGTAGCATTGGTAAGATGTTGCTGCAAACGACTGCAATCATCTAAAAGCAAGAGCGAGTAGTTTGTGCTCAGTTAGAGGTTCAACTGTTCTATGATCGAAATTAACTTTTAAAACTATTTAAAAAACCCAATTAACCCTTTATGCTTATATAACTCTCCCAAAAAATTAATAAGTCGTAACAACTGGCATTTGATTTATTTTAATTGAGTAATTTATCCGTTATAGCAAGGTTTGTTTTATGAAAACTGAAATTAGAATGTAAGAAATTTTGTAGTTTTATCGTCTCCTGCATCAATGAAAAACCTGACAAGTTTAAAGGGGTGCTGCGTCACAAAAAGGGCTTCTAATTTTTTCACAATTGCGCACTTGCAATTTAGAAAGGTGCCGCCGTCGTCTGCATTCGAGATTTTTCGAAATTTTTTCATTTTTTCTATTGTTTCTAGATTCAAAAAAAATTAGTGTTTTTTTCTAGTTTAATTTCGAGACAACAAATTTCTTTTTATTAGATTAGATTGTTTAACGTCTATTATCACTACAATTTTGGCTTCATTTGACAAAAAACCAAGCCATAACTTACCCTGACGTCTATAAAAGCCAACGATTTTAACTGAAAATAATTTAAAAAAAGAGAGAAGGGAAAAGCAGCATAATAATGCATATACACTTGTAACAATGGTATATGCTTAGCGCGATCCCAATATTGGGATGAGGAATCTGACACGGGCTCCAAATATGAGCCTACCCTACCACCATACGGGATTGTGGCCAGGGAACGAGCGCAGGAGGCCGGCCGACGGACCAGCAAAGCAGGGGGGAACAATTGAGAAAACAATAAGCGAAGCGGAAGCCGTCGCAATACAAGATTCGATCGGTCACCAAGCACCGAAAGAAAAAGCGAGGAACGAACCGAACCGGTGGATTGTCAGTTGGCCGCGACTGAAAAACAAAATAACTGCCACCTTTGTTTTAAAACAAAAAATTGCGATAATAAAACATTAGTGCTTTTTCTCAGAAGCCATTTTTTCTTAAACAAATAAGGGTGATATTACAGTAGGTGACAGGTTCAATTTGAATAGCTGGATCGCTCTTTGTTATACTTCGCACATTATTTGTAATTTGTTTCAAAAGTCAAATTTTTTGGCTAAAAATTGTAAAAACTAAATTTTTGAATAGCATTTCATCCAGCAGAGTGATGTATTTACAAAAAATATGTTAGTAGTGGCACAATTGATTGAAATGACTATTTTATGCATTACAGTTCTCAACTTTGATACTTGCATTATATTCAAAATTAACCCCTATTGTAACGAAATCATCAAAAAAATACTTGTCCGCATGCAAAAGCTTATGCTGCCGTAAAATGTTACGTATGAATGGTATCGAAACCTTACTGATACTGAAAATAACCCGCTAAAAAAATCGGCAGCTGTTATAATAACAGGAAAATTTAAACAAAAAAATGTTATACTTATATATTTTTTAAAAGTGTGATTTCAATTTTCAAGAATTTATGAACAGTATATGCAAGCTTAGAAAGCATCTTATTTATCTGCAAAATTTATGTGAGATCATTGTGATAGATTTCCATAAGTTTCCATTTGTGAGACCCAGTAGAAAGAAAAGTTTTCTGTTTAATGGTCGTTTTGTTATTTTACTTTACTTTTTCATAAGCAGTTACAAAAAATCTTGAGCCAATTACAATGGTTTTTTTGTTGTGCATGTTTGGGTTTTGAGAGACCATTTTTTAATTGAGAGACCATTGAGAGACCAAAACCTTTAATGTGAAATAACTGAAAACCTGTAATAATGTCAAAAACTAAGGTGATAATATAAAGTTTACAATGCGATAATAGTTCGAAAGCACTCGTTTTTCAACTACTTGATCTGGAAGAAACTAGCGCATAATTTGAAACCGTTTGTCTCAATATAGTGTTTGCGATTTAAAAAATCGGGCATCAAGTTCCAGACAATTAAGAGAATTGATTACCGTGGAACTCTTTATTCAGGCAAAAAGCACTAGCGCGGTTACAAAAAATCTTGAGCCAATTACAATGGTTTTTTGTTGTGCTTGTTTGGGTTTGGAAGACCATTTTTTAATTGAGAGACCATTGAGAGACCAAAACCTTAAATGTGAAGTAACTGAAAATATGTAATAATGTCAAAAACTAAGGTGATAATATAAAGTTTACAATGCGATAATAGTTCGAAAGCACTCATTTTTCAACTACTTGATCTGGAAGAAACTAGCGCATAATTTGAAACCGTTTGTCTCAATATAGTGTTTGCGATTTAAAAAATCGGGCTTCAAGTTCCAGACAATTAAGAGAATTGATTACCGTGGAGCTCTTTATTCAGGCAAAAAGCACTAGCGTGGTTAAAATTTGGAAAATTTCGTTATTGGATCAATACTTTTCTAAATCATAGGCAACATACCACGTCCTTCGTAGGCGACATTCATCTTTGGTAGGCAACATACCAAGTCTTTTTGAGAACCAACTGCTTTTTTTTGTATATATAAGATCAGCTTTTGAATATTAAAATTGGAATGGAATATTTTTTCTTCGAAAAACTAAAAATTCAACAGTTTGGCAGCAATAGTCTGATCGTAAAGTCACAAACTTGGAATGGTAATGATATTAGTGCAAATTTTAGTGCATTGCATAAAACTTTGCATGAAGCTACATGCGTTAGTTTCGATCGCAGTTTCCAGAGCAGCTATGGACAATTTTTATTAAAAGCGTTGGCCAAAAAACACAATAACTGCCACTTTTGTTTTAAGCAACCTTAGAAACTCAACTCGTAATATCCCAAACCTGTTTTGCACTCAAAAAATGGTTTTGAGCAGCATCTTATTTGTCTGCAAAATCTATGTGAGATCATTGTGATAGAATTCCATAAGTTTCCATTTGTGAGACTCAGTAGAAAGAAAAGTTATCTGGTTAAAAGTCGCTTCGCTAATTTAATATACTTTTTCATATGCAGTTACAAAAAATCTTGAGCCAATTACAATGGTTTTTTTGTTGTGCATGTTTGGGTTTTGAGATACCATTTTTTAATTGAGAGACCATTGAGAGACCAAAACCTTTAATGTGAAATAACTGAAAATATGTAATAATGTCAAAAACTGAGGTGATAATATAAAGTTTACAATGCGATAAGCACTCATTTTTCAACTACTTGATCTGGAAGAAACTAGCGCATAGTTTGAAGCCGTTTGTCTCAATATAGTGTTTGCGATTTAAAAAATCGGGCTTCAAGTTTCAGACAATTAAGAGAATTGATTACCGTGGAGCTCTTTATTAAGGCAAAAAGCACTAGCGCGGTTAAAATTTAGAAAATTTCGTTATTGGATCAATACTTTTCTAAATCATAGGCAATTGATAAGGTAGATGCTAATGCATATTTTGAAACTTTCTTCTCATTTTTTTCGGAGGTTAAAAAATCAGGCATTAGTTTCAATGAAATCAAGAGAATTGCTTAACGTGGCGCTGCTTTTTCAGAGTAGGTTCACTAACGCGCTTAAAACTTTAAATTGCTTTCGTTGTTCGATCAAAATTTCCCCAATCATAAGCAACGTACAACGTCCGCCGTCATTTGGAAACATTCAACTTTGGTAGGCAACATACTACGTCTTTATGAGAAATAACCATTTTTTAAACGTTTAAATTTTTGTTTTAAAATTTAAGGAGCATGATTTTTTATATTGTTCATGTGAAATAAGTTTCTGAAAACCTCAATTTGAACCAGAAAACACGTAAAGAAATTGAAAAATATTCAAAAACCTTTCACCAAATGACACAAGTTTGGAACTTTCTATTTGTTTGATCCAGTACAGAAACAGATTTTTAGTTGATATCATCGTTTTTGCAATTTTAAATTACTTTTTTATATACCGTATTGAAAACTCTTGCGCCAAAAAGATTGTTGTTTTTCGTTAAGCTTGTTGTTTTGATTTTTGAAGAAGGTATGGGAATGTTTACGCCCACGGGGCTTGTTTTTCTACAGACAAATTTTGTCAAGGCAAAGATCTAACTTTTTAACTAGCAACTTTCAGCACTGTTTTAATATCATTCAAAAGGTATTGTTTTGCTGAGCTCAATCTTAAAAAGATATTCCACCTGTGTTTTTGTGGACAATTATCGCGCGAGACTTACTATGTCTTAAGAAACGTTCAAATTGAATTGATGCATGTCATTTGGTGTATTTAATATTTGCTAGTTGCAAAAGATATAACTTTGTACTCAACATAGCGTCGTACTCAACTTTGTACTCAACATAGTTTAAAACAAATCATTTTTTCTGCGTTTTTTTTCTGAACATTTTATTCATTTTTTTTAAAGCGTGAATACTACTCCATCGACCTCAAATGACAGTCGGACGTTTCAGGGCTTCACCCTTATTCGAGAAGTCTTGTTTGGGTTTTGGGACACCATTTTTACTACTTACAATTATTTTAAATCAGTGGAAATAATTTATGAGGTCAAAACTAAGATGATAAGGTTACATTTATAATGTGATGCTAGCCAAAAAGCACTCTTTTTCAACTAGTACATATGGTGGAAAAAAGCATTATTTGAAAAAATTCGTCTCAATATCGGTTCTGAGGTTAAAAAATTAGGGTGTCAATACAATAAAATCAAGAGAACTGTTAACGTGGCGCTGTTTTTGCAAAAGAAAGTGCACTAATGCGATCAAAACCAGGCAACAGTAGTTTGATGCAGCTTCAAGCAGAAGAATTGATCAATCAGGGAAAATCATATCACTTCAACCAAAGTGTGCAGCAGTCCTTCAAAAACTGTACCCTTTGATCTGATTGTGAAAGATAATTATTCGGCTCATTCTCAACTCACGCGATCGAAACAATGCACAAGTAGTTTGAAGTAAATGAATGCACAACCTGATATAAAAACACTTTGAAAAATTCAGGGTATATTATAAACCACGTTTGTTTGATTCATTTTCAGCCAAAATTCAATCAATAGTTGCTTTTCAATTAAGTTTGATTAAAGCATGTTTTTACCTGCCACAATACTTTGAAAAAAAATAATTAAACAGCAAATTTCAATTTTTTTTAATTGTTAGTTTTTTTTATCGAGGCTGCCGCAGTGCTCTTTTTATGTATCACTTTCCATGATTTCCTTAAGAAGCCTGAGCCAAAAAATGATGAATCAGTTTAACTAAAAACAGAAAAACAGAACAAAATCTTATATAACCTTTGTTGAATATGGTAATCCAACTGATTTATATAAGTAATAATTAGGAAAAAAGC